CCCCGCACCCCAACAGGACCTCGAGGACCGGATTAAAACGGCTGGTGGGTCAGATCCGGCCTGCGGGCCGTAGTTTGCCCGCCCTGATTTAAGGGGTGCACTTGAGGGGGTCTAAGCCTGGAAGCTGTTACAATAACTTAAGAGTTCTTAAATAGATACTTATTTATATACTAGATAACGCTTTCCAACTGAGGTCTGATCTACACTAAAGTGTAAGATGCCTTAGGTCGACCTAACTATGCCAGTATACACACTACAGCCTTGTTCCTGCACATGTAAGTGCCCTGCTACACTGACATAACTCCACCACCACTAGAGGCGTAGGGTTTATGTTGGTGTAGTGAGGGCAACACAGTGTCCCTGCAGACACTGCCTTACTTACACCTACTGGCTGTCATTCTTGTCAATATCATGGTTCCCTTGGTGCCGGCTCCCCAGGGGAGCACGGCAGCTGACCAGACTCTGGGTGCGGATGTCCCCACTGGAAGCCTGGCTGACCCATAGCTCTCAGCTTCCCGCTCCCCACCAGGAATGGGGCAGCCGCACCAGGCTTCTTGGCACCCCACCAGGAACGTGGCAGCCAACCAGATACTGGACACGGATTTTAAAATTTTTTAAAATGCCTTGTTACTATTTGGGGTAACATCTTTGAAATTCCAAGTGATGCTTAAGTGCATGAAAGATAAGATATTAAAGCATCCTGTGGAGAAATGAGAATTTTTTACAAAGAGATAAAGGCATATAAAAGTATTACAATATCACACAAAGCAGATGAGAAAAATGTGATATGTATTTTTGTTTCCAAAGATCACATGAAGAATGCACATACATTTTTCAAATTATCAGCCAAATTTTCTCTTAACCATTAACTTTTCATACTTTTATTGTCATCAAGTTTGCCATGCAGTACCTTGCGATTTCTGCTCAGCAAAATAAAAACCATATCAATTGCTCATACAACTGTGATTCTCTATATGACAGAGTGATCACTCTCTGGTGATTTTTTTTTAACCAACAAAAACGATATTAGCCTGCCATCTAGTGGTAATGAAACAAAACAAAAAAGCAGGTGATTTTTAACAAATCAGCTTGTTTCCTAAAATGGTAATAAATCTAGAAAGCTTTTCAAAAAGATGAAACATACAGAATTAAATTCCCCTAACTGGAAGAAAAGAAGAGAAAAATTGCCATGTTGCAATTCAATAGCTGACCCTGGGCCACTTGGCATGTGTCTAAGGCAGAGGTCCACAACTGGATTGACAGCATCACAGATTTGCTGTGGAAAAGCCACAGAATGGAAATTATTTCTTATCAGATTGGTAACAATTTATGCTGTGGTCTGCATCATAAGTTTTACTGCACTGAGAGAAATACACCATACTGGCATAGATTTTCAGCTACTTCCGTTCTCGACTCTAGGGCTGCATGGAACTGAATCCCCAAGCTGCAGCCAAAGAGGGGTTAACAGGAGCTGCAAAGTTCTTTTCCCTTCTGCATGGCTTGCAATTCACTTTCTATGGTGTATCACAGTTCTGGTCCCTTCTACTTTAGAACAAAGAGGTGCCTTGTTAACAGCACCAAGTTAACTGTTTTCCTTTCGTGCCCACATATGTACTTTAGAAATAATAAACAGAGTGCATAACAAATATTTCCTTGAAAGTACTGACCACCTGGTAGGAAAAGTTGATGGCAAGAACAAAGCCAACGACCATTAAATACAACCAAAATTAGCCACCAGGAAATATCTCATACTGAGGTGTTACTGGGTTGTAATGTTAGCTTGTAGACTAGAGCATGGTCCTGGCAGACAAGACACTTGGATTCTATGCCCTGCTCTGACTTACTGTATGTGGCCTTTAACTTTGAGACTCTGGCTTTAAGGTACAACAAATGTCCAGAAATATTTTTTTAAGAGTGATATAGTTTCAATTTGTAGATTCAAGGTATTCCCAAAGAATGGATGCCTGGTACAGTAGCTAGTCAGACTGCTCAAATAATTTCTCAACACAGAATGGTCTTCATTAACAAGAGGTAAATTGTAAGCAATTTAGCATAAGGATGGAAATCAACTATTTCCTCTTAGAACACACAAGCTATTATGCTGTTAAAACAAGTTTAATTCATTTTAAATGAATAAGCCTTTTAAAAAAGTTTTGTCAGGTTCTGGAAGTGAAATGTTACATCCTCCATTTTATATCTGCAGAAATTGTGAGGTTGTGGTTATAATAATAATAATAATGCTGTACTCAAAATATTTAGGAAATTGATTATAATACTTAGCCTTTCTATTGGGTCTTCCCTTGGAGAACCTCAAAGTGCTTTATGTTGATTGACTGAGCCTCACAAAACACTCATTTTAGACATAAGAAAATGGAGGCAGAGAAATTAATGGACTTGCCTAAGCTCACACTGTGTCTGTGGCAAGAAGAAAACTCAGATCGTCTGACTCATAGGCTTGTACTTTAACCCTTTGATCAGACTCTCTGTTCAAGAAAGAAAGCCAGGCCACATATAGATTTAAAAACAACACTGTAACCATCCATGTTTGAAAAATAACCATAAAGAATTATTATTATTTAATAAAACCTAAAATTAAGCCAACTAGGAATTTCCAAGATTTTCATCTTTGAAATCATGGGAGTACAGTAAAAGTGAAGAATCAGCATCATGCATCGTGGTCAGTTTCTCCTTCCCATACAGTCATGCACTGTCTGGATAGAGAAATACTTTCAATGGATATGAGGTGTATACATTCATAAGCAGCACTGACAGAATTTAATTTTTTAAATCCTGACAAAGTTTTTATGGCATATTTAAGATTTTTTCTAGCAGTATTTGTTCACTTTTGGGGCAAAGATGATCTGGGATTCATTCCATTGCAAATAGACTGAAATGTAAAAATAAAACAAAACTAAGCTTACTTTTCAAACAAGGAGAGTCTGAAACTTCTGTCTGGCCTTGCATCCAATGTATCACCTTGATCTCCGCCTTGGTCTTCATCCTCCTGTGCGGTCACAGGACCGGATTGATTTCCTTCCATCTATGCACACAGAATAAAACAGAGAACTAGAAAATACAAGTGTCCTTCAAGGAGTGCTACCATTTTTTTTAAACACTTCTGTAACTAAAAAGCCTAATAAACCCCCCAGTCATTACACCAAATACATTTGGGGCTAATTATCAGTCTGCTATGTTGCATGATGTTTCATAGGCTAGGGCCTGGTCTACACTGGGGGAGTGGGGAGGAGAAAGGGGGGATTGAGCTAAGTTATGCAATTTCAGCGGTGAGTCGACTGCTGCCGCTCCCCCGTCGACTCTGCCTGAGCCTCTCGCGGCAGTGGAGTACAGGAGTCAACGGGAGAGCGCTCGGGGATCGATTTATCGTGTCGAGACGAGATGCGATAAATCGATCCCGGTGGGCAGTGTAGACATACCCTGGGAGTAGCCATGGTTTTTTGGATCCTGCATCAATCCGATACTACATGTATTCAACCACCGCTGTTACATTTTTTATCATAATTATTAAAATTGACTTTAAAAATCTGTCCATAAACTGCAGCTAAGATCAAAAATAAAAATACATTTCTAGTGAAAAGTCCTCATACCATGCTTTCAAGATGCTTTGTAATCCTGTCAATGTGGACCAAAACCAGTATGCTGGAAAGGCAGCACTAAAAATCTGAAATCAAAATATTTATGTTATTCCATTGAAGTTATAATCCAATTTGAAGATACCCTGAAAACTCAAAAATAACAATTTTGCTTTTTCTAGAGACAAGTTTGGTGAGGTAATATCTTTTATTGGACCAACTTCTGTTGGTGAGAGAAACAAGCTTTCTAGCTTACATGGAGCTCTTCTTCAGACTTCAAACTAACTAGTTTCCCAGACCTGAAGAAGACCTTTGTGTAAGTTCAAAAATTTCTCTCTCTCTCCAAAAGAAGTCAGTCCAATAACAGATATTACCTCACTCAGTCTCTCTAACATTCTGGAACCAACATGGCTACAACAACATACAATAATGGAAGATTTCTCACATACATACATATATATCCAATTGTGTTTGGTGGAAAAGTACAATGATGTGACTCATGGATGTAGATCAGTCTTAATTTTGAATGTCACTACTTCTCTCTACTTCATACGTTATGTGTTTTATATTTTCCTAAGATTAGTATGTTTTTTTAAAAAGTAAAGAAAGTTATGCTCAGAAATTAAAAAGCATATTACTCTTCTAAGATTTCGTAGCAGCCCCTTAGGCAAATTATGGCACTTGGGACAAATTCTGCTTTCAGTCACTCCAATGTAAATTCAGAGTAACTTCACTAAAGTCAGTGGAGTTGTTTCAGAATTACACCAGTGTAACTGAAAGCAATCATTTCCCCTGTATAAGAAAAAAACATACTATTTACCAGGTGAAAAGGTTTTTTTTAATCACAGTATTCAATGGAGAGCAGAACAATTGATGCTTGCCCCATTCCTGTAAACAATTGCTGATTAAAGTAGTCCTTACTCATGCATGTCCTATCAAACTCATCAAGTGATAGATTAGAAACACGGACTGTCAAATTAGATACCAGTGGATTGTAGGACTATGCAAACAGATTGTGTGGACATTGATCTGAATGCTGTGTACCAACCCCAGTGCAGGCTGAAAGTAAAAGGGAAAGTTGTTTTCAGCCTCAGCAGATTTTAATTTGATTTCATTGGGAATACTCACAGTTCATAAAGGACTAGGGATAAGTCTGATGATATTTAATATGTTTCTCGGTGATCTGGAAAAGGACATGAACTCTGAGGTGCTGGAATTTGTAAATTACACAAGATTATTTAGGGAAGACAAGGAATTTCAAAGGAACCCAATACAGATAGGTGAATGAATGCATGAAAGAAAATGAGTATTAATAAATGCAAAATAATGCACAAATAGAAGGAATAATTTGTACTACCTATGGGAATTGCGGGATTCTAAATGAACTGTTAGCCTCTCATGGGTGTGATTTTTTTTTTAAACTAAAATAGTTACACCAGTGCAATGCCTAGTGTGGAGGCAGTTATACCAGTATAATGTTATCTTATAGCAATATAGCTTATTCCCTTTCCTGTACAGGAATAGACAGTGGCATAAAATGCCTTTATACCAATAGAACTGCATTCCCACGTAGACAAGGCCTACGGCGGGGGGGGGGGCGAGGAGAGGAGGAAGGGAAGAATCTCTGGGGCTAAAAGAAGAGGAAAAGAAAGGGATAAAACATTGAAGATTGGAGGAAGACTCAGACACTGGAAGTGGAGGGTCAGATGCTAGGAGGAAGCAGGGGGTTAGAAAGTGTGGCCAGAAAGGGGGGAAGGAGGATTAAGCTCAGGGGTGCATAGGAAGGAGGACAGGATCAGACTGTGGGGCCAGGGAGAAAAAGGAGCTTAGAGGGGGTTAGCTGCTAGTGGTCTGAAGGGAAGGAGGAGGACAGGGTCAGATTCCTGGGGACAGGGAAAAGGGACAGATGATGTTGGAAGATGGGGTCCAGGAGCTGGGGTGGCAGAAGGAGGGTTAGAGGTAGGGTTGCCACCTCTGAAGTACAAAGTACAGGATGATCCTGAGCCCATAAGACAGGACATCTGGCATGGTGTACTGAGTCCCCTTACAGATATGCCAGGACAAAAATGGGGCAATCAATGGTTACAGGGTGGGGTTAAGTGCTGGGAAGAGAGCGGGTGGGGGTGGAAGGTGGTGTATAGACTTAAAGGGTCAGGCATGGGGTGGAAAAAGTGGGGTTAGAGCTGAGGTCTGAAGTCTGATATGGGAAGGGAGAGGAG